GTGTCCGGGGAGGGCTTTGGCGCTGTCCAGTGTCCAGCAGTAGACCCCTGTACAGTGTGTGCTCTTGTTCTGGAAAACAACCTTATAGTCAAATTAAAAACAACAGAGATTGTGAATGAGATTGTTTTTTCTCTCTGAAGTCAAAACAATGTGAGCGCTCTGGTTTTCCCAAGCGCTATGTAAATAAAGATTACTTATTATCTACTAATGATGACATTTAAAACCAGAAACTCTCAATATAAAAATCAAGACTCAAATCTCTGAAACCTTCTTAAACTTTAAAATATGTTATTATGACTTTTGCACTGTGTGATTAATTATCTAAGCATCCCTTGGGTTTCGTGAAAGACGCCATGAAATGGAAATTATGAAAATCTCTATAAAAATGAACATTAATTTGTAAAAACATTTAAAACAAAACTTGAAATCAAACCAAAGATTTAGCTTCCAAGCTACACTGGAGTTGGTTCAATAAAACTCAATTGTGCTTCGGAGCTCTGCCTCCCTCAGTCTCCTGAGCATGCTGCAAGGTCACGCGTGTAGTCAAAACACAAACAAAAGTCACCACGTTGAGAATGGAAATTGGGTGAATTGGGTAGGTTAATCTTAAAATTATAATACTTTTTTCAGCCTAATTCCCTCTTTCTTTTTAGACGAAGTCTACAATCATAAACACTTTTAACAATTCTAATTTAAATGTTTGAGAAAAACGCTTTGTAACTAAACATAAAAAATACCTGAAAAAATCTCACAAACAGCTATGAAATATATCAGAGATACAATTAATGGACTCCAAAATAAGCAGCAGATTTAAAAGAAAAGCAAAAAGCTTTTTGTACTACTCTTTGGGTTTTTCAAAAACATACCTAATCAAACAATTCAAAACTTTCTATTCACTAAATGGTGTTTAAAAAAAAACGTTTAACTGTGTATAACACAATGTGCAATATGGCACATTTAGCAAATATAACGGAATAAACAACTATGAAAAGCCATAAGTCCTAAAGCAGTAGCTCCCCTTTAATCAGAGCAGCGAAGGTGGGGGGCCGTTTTCCCTGACAACGGCCAGCAGATAGAGATTTGCACACACACAGGGCAAAAATATACCAGAAGAAATAACTTTCAAGATTACTTTGTTAAGCGAAATATAACTGAATGTTTGTTCTTATATTACTTTTGTCATCCCAAATCTGAAGTGACACTTTCCACACTAGTAAACAAAAGGCATCTTTAGTGTTTTTAAACGTTTCCCTTTGTATAATTACTTTTAATTCTACACCATGGTTTCTCGCAAAGGGACTTTAACCCTGAACATCTTCTTCCAAAGGGCTGTGTTAACCCGCGAGGCTTTCTCAAAGGGACTTTAACCCCAGAGACTTTCAAAAAGGGACTTTAACCCCGAGGCTCAAAGGACTTTACCCCCGAGAACTTTTCAAAAGGGACTTTTAACCCCGAGGCTCAAAAGGGACTTTAAAAAACCCCCGGACTTCTTCTCCAAATACAATTTAGAGAGTTTTGACAGACCCAAAAAACAGACCCAAAATTTAGCTAATATCAATTATGCAGACTTTACATATTAAAAAAAGGTGTCTGCTTACCTTATTCTGTCAAACCGGTTCCAAGGACTGGGTCCGAGAGGTCGCCAACTCTTTTCCGCGTCGGAAAATTTCAATTTAAACACAAAACAGAGAAGTGAGAGAGCAAGAGCAAGCCATCCAAAGCAAGCCCATTCCCGCGTCCGCGCTGCCAGTTATCTCCCCTTCCCAGATAACGTGGCTGTCCTCCCACACCCGAAAAAAAGAAACAGAGAAAACTCCTCAAACCAATCCAGAGAATGCACACAACGAGCCGCGCATTCTCCACCAAATCTTGTTTAGGATTTAGCAGACAGAGACGATCGTGTGTGCCAAACTCTGGAAGTTTATTTAAGTTTCTCCTCAAGTTCCACTGTTTACTCTGTTCTTTTTCTCAGACAGAATAAAAGGCAGTACACAGTGTTATAAATAGTCATTGTCACGGGGTCACACATCGAAAGACATACTGACCACAAAAAATAAAAAGAGACAGTCAAAATCACCAAATCACTAAAAAGTAAACAAATAAACATGAAAACAAAAATCAAACACAAACCAACTCACAATGACCACATAAACCATGTACCGCAATAAAAAAATTCGTATAGACAATACAAACCTACAAAATTCATCGGTATCCAATATAAAATCAAGCATACATGAAAAAAAACACACAACAAATATCAAACGAGTATATAATCTACAAACAGAATACTCAGTCAAATCACAGCTTCACAGCATAACTTACAACTCCATCAAACCAACAAAAAACTTCACAAAACTGTACAACGATACACCAAAAACAAACTAACACAAAACCACGACAATCATATTGCAAATAAACATAAAACACCGAAAGAAAAAAAGTAACGCCATTAAAGAAATGAAATCATAGCTAAAACATTACGTCATCATCACATAAATAGAACAACAACAAAAAAGACAAATAAAAAAAGAAAAACATAAACCATAAATCAACAAGATACCAGCAATCAGAACATCAACTTATCAACAACAAAACATGCCTCAAATATCAATCACCATAAAACAAATAAACTGAATAACATTTGGGGTTTCTTGATCATTCAAACATATACAAATAAGGAACAAAAATCCACGGGGCAAAACAAAGATACAAACAACCAGTCAAAGTAGCTTCCAATTAAGGGGATGCGAGGGGGAGGGGGGGGGGGGGGGGGGGGGGGGGGGGGGGGGGAAAAAAATAATGATACCAACACAAAACATAAGACAAAAACTTATTAAACAAAAACCCTATTGACACACAACAAGAACAAAAACTAAGAAACAGACCAGTAAATCACATAAAGGAGCAAAACAATTCTAAATCTCAAATTCTTGAGACAATCACAAAACAATCATAAAAAAAACACACAACAACAAAAGCATTGATTAATAATCAATAAAATCCACACAATCAAACATCACAAACCAACAGACAGCACGAAAACACACACCACACACCACCAAACACAAAAAAATCACTACTACCAAAACACAAATGTAGAACAATATTAACCCCAATCACGAATCAATAAGAAACCACACCTCTCCAACCTAACAAAATAAAAACAATAAACCACAGGACAAGACAAACAATAACAATCAAACCAAGCAGCTAATCACAAAAAATCACAACAAAAAACACAGGAAAAAAAGCAAAAACAAAGACATAACATAACACTAGACAGATAAGTACACACTAAAAACACTCAGAGCAACACACACGACAAACTCACCACAAAATTAAAGTACAACACATCATAATTGACCACCATTCAAACACCAATAGTTAATATCTTACTAAACAAAGTAACAAATAAACCCACATAATCATGAACTCTACACATAATCAGGAATCAACCAAACATCACACAAACTATACACTCCGACACAGACAAAAAAACGCAAAGCAGCAGAAAAAAAAGTTACAATCAAAAACAAAATTCAAACAACACGAGATAAAAACCTTCAAAAAGTACATATAAATGACCTTTAAAAAATAACAACAGACTAAAAACACCCAATTCAAATGTCCAAAATTGAACCCACCAAATATAAAAACAAAATACAGCAACCAAAACAAACAATCAAAACAACCAAAATAAACAACAACAACTAAAATCAAGAACAATAGCAGGAAATTGCAAACAACAAAAGAATCAGAAAAAATTATAAAAATACCACACATAATCAAAATAAACAACACAACAACAAAGCACAAAGCAAACAAATCAGCACCCTCAAAAAAACACCAAACACAGCAACATCCAAAACCACCTAAAACCAAAAATAAATAAGGAACGCAGCATAAAAATCATTAAACAATCATAACGACATTAAACTTAATCTCGCAACAGGGACAGACAAAATCAAAAAAATAAATTACAATAATAACAAATTATCAGCTCAATAGTACAAACCAGTATCACACACAAAAAAAGAATAAAACAGGAACTCACCCAACAAAAATCATAAGCCCACACCACAAAAGAAACAAAAATAAACAATAAAAAAAACTACAACATAAGCAAATGCGACACGCAGGTCAAACACCAGCAAAATCACTTATTACTATGCAAAACAAAAGCATGAAAACCAAAGACAAAACCACATGGACTCAACACAAAAGAATACAAGTCAACACACTAGGCACAAATCACAATCATTACAATAAACAGTAATCAGGCAGCAGTAACCAACCCCGATGTCAAGCTAACAGGAAACCATCAAATTAAGCCAGCAAGAACAATCCATACATGATATCAAACCAAAAACATCAGATTATCACCACAGTAACAGTATCACTCTGGTCTCTCTCTGGGCCCACTCTGGTCTCTCTCTGGTCTCTCTCTAGGCCCACTCTGGTCTCTCTCTGGTCTCTCTCTCTCTAGTCAATCTCTTATCTCAAGACCCCCCTGTGATTGAGACCCTCTGTGAGAGTACAAACTTTAAAGCTGGGATTTGTAACTTTCAGACCAGACCAATAGAACTCTGTAATAAACCCATGTCTCTAATTCAGTGGTTCTTAGCCTTGTTGGAAGTATCGAACCCCACCAGCTTCATATGCACATTCACCAAACCCCTCAAGGGAAAAATAACAACAAAGCAAACACAAATTAGAGTTTACAATTACACGTGACCGGCTGTTTTGATTCATGCTCCAACGCAGAGACTCACGAGGTTAAGAACCACTGCTCTAGTTGCTGGCTCCAAATAGTTTGCTTCAATCACTAGTTTTCACATCATGTAATTTTGTCACATCTCAGCTTTTTAGACAGAAAAGTGAAAAGAGACGACCGCCCTCACTCAACCAATCAGCTCTCAGCCCTAAGAGTCAAAATGTGACTCCCAGGGCTCATTCTGACACTGAAGATAAGTGTTGTGTCTGCTCTCTGTGTTGCTCAGCGCTCTGGTCTCAGGTGAAGGTTCTGGCTGCAGTCCTGGTTCTGGTGGTTTTGGCCGTGGTCTTCCTCATCCTCCTCATCGTCGTCTGGACAAAGGTACGAGTCCTGGGTCTGGTCAGCATCACACATCTCGTATTTTAAAGAAAACTAGACAGAAACTCAGCTGAACTCAACCTGCACTCCTGGTTTTGGGCCGGATGAAACCTGTCACCTCTCTGGTCTGGTCTGGTCTGGTCTGGTCTGGTTTTCATACTGGTCTCTATCTGAGAGAGAGAGACAGACAGATCTCTTTGGTCTCTGGCCTCTCAATCTGCTCTCTGGTATCTCTCTGCTGTCTCTATGTTTGATGTTTGGTCACTATAGTCTCTCTCTGCACTCTGGTCACTCTCTTGCTGCTCTCTTCTTGCCCTCTGGTCTCTATCTCTGCTCTCTAAACTCTCTCTGGTTGCTTTCTGGTTGCTCTGTGGTCTCTACGGTCTCTCTCTGCTTTCTGGTCTTTCCCTGGTTGCTTTCTGGTTGCTCTGTGGTCTCTACGGTCTCTCTCTGCTTTCTGGTCTCTCCCTGGTTGCTTTCTGGTTGCTCTGTGGTCTCTACGGTCTCTCTCTGCTTTCTGGTCTCTCCCTGGTTGCTCATGGTCTCTCTCTGCTCTCTCTCTGGTTGCTGTCTGGTCTCTCTCTGGTCTGGTCCTCATGCTGGTCTCCTCTGCCAGAAACCGGTCTGGACTCTGGGATGGAGGCTGCTGGCCATTCCCCCTGATGGCTCGGTGGCTTTGGTGGACCCGTCGGACCTGCCGTACGACTCTGGATGGGACGTCCCGGAGGAGGACATCTCTCTGGGTCAGTCTCCGGATCGGCTCCGCGGCGTGGGGCCCTGTCGTCATGGTAACTGTGTATGTTTCCAGGTCAGGTGATTTCTTCTGGAACATTTGGGACTCTGACCGAAGCTTCAGTCTCAGGTCTGACCGGAGCCGAGTCCAGCTGCAGAGCCATAGTCCTCACAGCCAAAGGTGCCAACTTTAAAATGGTCTCTTTTTGGTCTCTCTCGTCTCTCGCTCTGATCTTTTCTGGTCTTTCTCTCTGGCCTCTCTCTGGTCTCTCTTTCTTGTCTCTTTCTGGCCTTTCTCTCTGACCTCTCTCTGGTCTCTCTCTCTTGTCTCTCTCTCTCTCTGGTCTCTTTCTAGTCTTTCTCTCTGGTCTCTCCCTGGTCTCTCTCTGGTCTCCTGTTGTAATACCATGTGTGTCCTGTAGGTGGTGCTGTCCGCTCCCTACTGTCAGACCTGAAGACCTGGATCCACATTGGTCGTCACATGAACGTGCTGCAGCTGCTGGGAGCCTGCACCAAACACGGTGAGATTATGGAGTAAGAGACGACCGGGATGACCAGTATGATGTGTTTGAGTGATGAAAACAGAGCGTTGAAACAGAAGGGGCGGGGCTTGTGTGCAGGGCCGCTGATGGTTATCTCAGAGTGGTGTTGCCATGGAGACCTGCCCAGTTACCTGAAGAAGCACAAAGTCAGCTGTCCTTCAGGCTCCGCCCACAGGTCAGTGTTTTGGAGAGGCAGCTCTAGAGCCTACTCCACACTCAGCTTTAGAGCCCACTCTGTCTCCTGTGTGTGTTCCAGTGTCAGTGACGTGTATCTGGACATGAGCTCAGACTCTCAGTACGTCGCCATGAAGCAGCTGTGTGCGACCGAATACACAACACTACACAACACAACAACAGGTAACTACACAACCACACAACAACAGGTAACAACACAGCCACACAACAGTACGCAACAACACTTATAATCCTCATACAGCTGGATGAGTTAGCTCTAGTCCACTAACCTATACCGCACAACAACAGGTAACAACACACTAGACAACAACATGTAACTACACAACACATAAACTGGTAACTACATAACACAGCAACACAATAACATACAACACAACATAACGAAACAGCTCCATGAGGATTAGAGCTGACTCACAGACTACATCCGAACCCAAAGGATCAATTAGCAACATTCTAGCAATCAACGAGCCAATCTGACCTCTGACCTCTGACTGTCTCTGTCAGACCCACAGGGGGCGCTGTCTGCGGAGGACCTGCTGAGCTTCTGTTTCCAGACGGCCAGAGCCCTGGACTTCCTGTCGCAGAGAAATGTATGGAAACATGTCTGTTCATCTGAGCCAAAATGTCTGTCCATCTGAGCCAAAATGTCTGTCCATCTGAGCCAAAATGTCTGTCCATCTGAGCCAAAATGTCTGTTCATCTGAGCCAAAATATCTGTCCATCTGAGCCAAAATGTCTGTTCATCTGAGCCAAAATGTCTGTTCATCTGAGCCAAAATGTCTGTTCATCTGAGCCAAAATATCTGTCCATCTGAGCCAAAACGTCTGTCCATCTGAGCCAAAATATCTGTCCATCTGAGCCAAAATGTCTGTTCATCTGAGCCAAAATGTCTGTTTATCTGAGCCAAAATGTCAGCTCATCTGAGCCAAAATGTCTGTTCATCTGAGCCAAAATGTCTGTTCATCTGAGCCAAAATGTCTGTAATGTCTGTTCATCTGAGCCAAAATGTCTGTGTGCAGGTGGTGCACAGAGACGTGGCAGCGCGGAACGTTCTGGTGTCCGAGCAAAAGATTCTGAAACTCGGAGACTTCGGTTTGAGCCGCGATATGAGGAGGAGCAAGGAGTACGAGAGGAGAGGCAAGGTGAGGAGGAGTACCTCCTCTAGTACTCAAAGTACTTGTACTCCCTTTATAATCACAGTACTTTAACTCCTGTAGTACTCACAGTACTTTAACTCCTGTAGTACTCAGTACTTGTACTTGTACTTGTACCCCAGGCTCGGCTCCCGGTGAAGTGGATGTCTCCTGAGAGTATCTTCCTCTGTGTTTACACGACTCAGAGCGACGTCTGGTCCTACGGAGTCCTGCTGTGGGAGATCTACTCTATGGGTGAGTCCTGCTACTGCTACTGATGCTGCTACTGCTACTGCTACTGCTACTGCTACTGCTACTGCTACTACTGCTACTGATGCTGCTACTGCTACTGATGCTGCTACTGCTACTGCTACTGCTACTGCTGCTGCTACTGCTACTGCTACTGCTACTGCTACTGCTACTGCTGCTGCTACTGCTACTGCTACTGTTACTGCTACTGCTGCTGCTACTGCTACTACTGCTGATGCTGCTGCTGCTACTGCTACTACTGCTACTGCTGCTGCTACTGCTACTGCTACTGCTACTGCTACTGCTACTGCTGCTGCTACTGCTACTGCTACTGCTACTGCTACTGCTACTGCTACTACTGCTACTGATGCTGCTACTGCTACTGATGCTGCTACTGCTACTGCTACTGCTACTGCTGCTGCTACTGCTACTACTGCTACTGCTACTGCTGCTGCTACTGCTACTACTGCTACTGCTACTGCTACTGCTACTGATGCTGCTACTGCTACTGCTACTGCTACTGCTGCTGCTGCTGCTGCTACTGCTACTGCTACTACTGCTACTGCTACTGCTACTGATGTTGGTACTGCTACTGATGCTGCTACTGCTACTGCTGCTGCTACTGCTACTGATGCTGCTACTGCTACTGCTGCTGCTACTGCTACTGATGCTGATGCTGCTACTGCTACTGCTGCTGCTACTGCTACTGATGCTGCTACTGCTACTGCTGCTGCTACTGCTACTGATGCTGATGCTGCTACTGCTACTGATGCTGCTACTGATGCTGCTGCTGCTACTGCTGCTGCTACTGCTACTACTGCTACTGCTGCTGCTGCTACTGCTACTGCTACTGATGCTGCTACTGCTACTATTACTGCTACTGATGCTGCTGCTACTACTGCTACTGCTACTGCTACTGATGCTGCTACTGCTACTGATGCTGCTACTGATGCTGCTACTGCTACTGCTACTGATGCTGCCACTGCTACTATTAATACTGCTACTCCTACTCATACAGTACTTCTACTATTAGAACTGCTGCTGCCGCAACGTATTTCAACCATAAATACGTTGAAATGTAATTTCTGTCTCTGTTTGTCTGTATGTATGTGTTTGTGTCTGTGTGTGTGTGTGTGTGTGTGTGTGTGCGTGTGTGTGTATCTATGTGTGTGTGTGTGTGTGTGTGTATCTATGTGTGTGTGTGTGTGTGTTACAGGAGATGTGCCGTTCCCAGATGTTCCTCAGTCTCAGTTTTGTTCCAACCTGAAAAAAGGAAAACGACTCAACCGACCTGAGCTGGCCCCAGATGACATGTACGCCCTGACCTCTGACCCCTGACCTAACCCCTGATCTCTGACCTAACCACTGACCTTTGACCCCTGAGACCTAACCCCTGACCTCTGACCTAACCACTGACCTTTGACCCCTGAGACCTAACCCCTGACCTCTGACCTAACCACTGACCTCCGACCCCTGACCCGCTGTGACGCGGTAATGCCAAAAAGCCTGTGTGATGTTGTGGTCAGTCCACAGGTCAGTGCAGCGTCACATTCATGAACAAGTGACGCAGATGAAGCCTGTAACACCGAGGCTATGGACTGTTTCAATTGTTCCAAAACCCTGTAACACTGACATCTAGTGGACACATGAAGTCATTGCAGCTTCATGTTTCATTGCTTCATTCATCTTCTCTCTCATGAGCAGAGCCATTCTACAGCAGCAAAACATCGGTTTATAGCTGTTTTAATCTAGTAACAGTTTAAGGAATCCTTAAATACAAGTTTGTTTGCATCTAAAAACAATTTTAAAAAAACAAAAGGACTGCACTTTTTTCAGAAATTACAGTTTTTTCTTCAAAGCAATAGTTTCTCAAAAGTTGTTGGTTTCAGTCGGCTTCATGTTTGGACCAACCTTAGAAAAAATAACAGTTTGACATTTATGTTGAATGAGATCAAAATGATCCCAAACCATGGATCCCCATTTCCCACTTGTGGATGCCATCAAAATATGTCGTAAAAGTAACTTCAAAGTAATGCAATGTAATGTTTTCCCATTCAGAGACAGTAATATTGTAATGTAACACATACATATATATATATAACAGAAACAAGTCAAACATAATGTATTATGTCTCGCACCACACTTTGAGGACCACTGCTGTCTCCACAGGTCTGACCTCATGACCTCCTGCTGGGACCAGACTCCAGGACTGAGACCTTCAGCTTCTGCTTTGGTCCAAACTGTGGGGAACATGATGAGTCCGCAGTTTCAGCAGGTTCGAGACAGATTCAACACAGAGTGTTCCGACAGAGTCTACACTGAGTGTTCCGACAGAGTCTACTGTACACAGTGTGTTCTGACAGAGTCTACACAGAGTGTTCCGACAGAGTCTACACAGAGTGTTCTGACAGAGTCTACACAGAGTGTTCCGACAGGGTCTACACAGAGTGTTCCGACAGGGTCTACACAGAGTGTTCTGACACAGTCTACACAGAGTGTTCTGACACAGTCTACACAGAGTGTTCTGACAGAGTCTACTGTACACAGTGTGTTCTGACAGAGTCTACACAGAGTGTTCCGACAGAGTCTACACAGAGTGTTCCGACAGGGTCTACACAGAGTGTTCCGACAGGGTCTACACAGAGTGTTCCGACAAAGTCTACACAGAGTGTTCCGACAAAGTCTACACAGAGTGTTCCGACAGAGTCTACACAGAGTGTTCCGACAGGGTCTACACAGAGTGTTCCGACAGAGTCTACACAGAGTGTTCGAGTGTTCTGACAGAGTCTACACAGAGTGTTCTGACAGAGTCTACACAGAGTGTTCTGACAGAGTCTACACAGAGTGTTCCGACAGAGTCTACACAGAGTGTTCCGACAGAGTCTACACAGAGTGTTCCGACAGAGTCTACACAGAGTGTTCTGACAGAGTCTACACAGAGTGTTCCGATAGAGTCTACACAGAGTGTTCTGACAGAGTCTACACAGAGTGTTCTGACAGAGTCTACACAGAGTGTTCCGATAGAGTCTACACAGAGTGTTCTGACAGAGTCTACACAGAGTGTTCTGACACAGTCTACACAGAGTGTTCTGACACAGTCTACACAGAGTGTTCTGACACAGTCTACACAGAGTGTTCTGACACAGTCTACACAGAGTGTTCCGACAGAGTCTACACAGAGTGTTCCGACAGGGTCTACACAGAGTGTTCCGACAGGGTCTACACAGAGTGTTCCGACAGGGTCTACACAGAGTGTTCCGACAAAGTCTACACAGAGTGTTCCGACAGTCTACACAGAGTGTTCCGACAGGGTCTACACAGAGTGTTCCGACAGAGTCTACACAGAGTGTTCGAGTGTTCTGACAGAGTCTACACAGAGTGTTCTGACAGAGTCTACACAGAGTGTTCTGACAGAGTCTACACAGAGTGTTCTGACAGAGTCTACACAGAGTGTTCTGAGGGGAGGGTCAGTTTGTGCTGATGATCTTTGTTTTCTCAGAGGTTTTCGTGTCTGGAGGAGAAGTTCCTGTCAGAGAATCCTGAGGGGAGGGTCCAGACTGAACCAGGTCTGAATCCTGAGACCAGAAACCAGACTGAACCAGGTCTGGACCCTGAGATCAGAGACCGGACTGAACCAGGTCTGGACCCTGACACTTGAATCTGGACTGAACCAGGTCTGGATCCTTAGACTGAACTGAACCAGGTCTAACATATATATTATTCAAATTTCAGCGGGACAGGGGGAGGAGCCACAGAGCACTGGCCCCGCCCCCTTTGATGACATCACAGTTAGTGTGGTTAACCTAGAGACGAGAGAAGATTCTGCGCAGGACGCAGAGGTGAGAGGCCGCATTCTGATTGGTCCGTTCAAAGGTCTGCTGGTTTCTGATTGGCCGTTTCTCTGCAGATCTGAAGAACATGAAGTGACATCACCAACGCAGGCTGAGGGCTGCGTCTGATTGGTCCATTTCTGACTTTTTACAAATGTTTATGTTTTTACTCAAACGTCTGAGAGTTCGACACTCTTTAGTCAGGTTATGTTAATGAGGAGGATGTTAATGAGGAGGCTGTTAATGATGTTAATGAGGACGATGTAAATAATGTTCATGATGATAATGAGGACGATGTAAATGAGACGTGTTTTTACTAAATAAACTTCATCAGCATCAACAGTTGTTAGTTGTGTGTGAGCCTCAAGAGGATGCAGTTCATGTGTCAGGCTGGGGGTCCTGGGTCCTGCCTCCTGGGTTCTAGGTCCTGGGGTAGTGTTAATGCTATAATTTACAATCAATTCTGACAAAATCACATGGACAAAAGACATAGTTCAGGCATTCTTTAATACTTGGCTGCCTTTCCAAGGAGACATGGAAGAGAACAGAGCACAGTTCAGCTCAGCCTCGCGTCCAGAGCATGTCTGCCTTTGGTCAGGCTGCAAGCAGTACAGCAGGAGGTAAGACACACCTCCACTTCCACACAGTCACAGCTTCACAATGAGACCTTTGTTATTTCCCATATCAATCAAAGAACCCTTGCCCAGAAGACTGGCTGAAACCAATTAGTGAATTTCAATACATTATATTTTAGCCACATATTACTTGATATTACTACATTAAAATTATAACTTAAAAACAGTCCAATGACAGGTAAACAGAAGGACAACCATAGTGCGACTCTTCTCTTAAGAACCAGATTTTCACGTATTGTGAATGTTTTTAGTGGTAGGCAAAACTGGAGCACCTGGAGGTAAACTACGCAGGCACAGGGAGAACATGTAAACTCCACAAAGAAAGGCCCTGTTCTGACCAGGATTCATACCCAGGGTGTATTCTTTTGCTGAGAAGTGAGAATGTTAACCACTCTGCCACCATGCTACCCCCACAACACAACACAACAACATCGTCCTTTGGCAAAACACTTCAATCACATCAGAATGAGGTCTGTGTGGGAAAGGCCGATGGCACGGACTGGTTCTGTCAAGTCATCCCCAGTCTGCCTCAGGGCAGCTCTGAAGAGAGTCAGCTCTGTGGAAAGGCAAGCTCACAGATTTAGCCTTTATCCAGAGTTTCAATAAAGAGACAAGAATAAGAGGAACTCTAGAGTCTTGTGAAATCTCCTCCTGGCTTTTGAGGAAGTCCTGGTTTCACTGGGTCTAAAAAGTGGACTGAGGACCAGAGCAGAACTGGACTCATCCCGATCTGAAGCAGGTCAAGAACAGGTCTATCACTGGTCTAAAACAGGGCTAAATCTGTTCTAAATCTGGTCTAAAGATCTAGTCTGGACCTGGTCTACAGTGTGAAGATGCTGAGGTTGCTCCTGGTGCTGGTGCTGGGATCTGGACTCCCACAGGACGTCTGCGCAGGTGACACACAAACACAGGGTTTTCTAATCATCTCTGAGCCTCAGAGTTTAGCTGCAAACACTCACAGAACACAAACAGAGGACAGAGCAAAAGCACAGAAGTCACAGAAGTAAAGAACAGAATAGACACACACAGACACACACACACACACACACACACACAGTGTTAGTACTTTAATGGGAGACATTAGAGAGTGTGGTGTGTGAGTGAACGGCACAGACCGGTCGCTCACCAACAGAACTCTGTAATAAACCCAAGTTTCTCGTTTCTGGTTCTAAAACAGTTTCTATCACAGGTTTTCACATCATCTATGTTCGGCCTCTGTCACATCTTTAGATAAACATTTTTAGACAGAAAAGTGAAAAAGAGAGGACCACCTTCACTCGGTCAGTTCTCAGCCAAAAGAGTCAAACAGCGACTCACAGGGCTCTGTTCTGCTTTTACAATATTTATAAATTTATTGACAAACACAAAGTCCAGAGTGTGCACAAAAGCAGGGAAGTGAAACAGGAAGTGATTCGCTCCATCTGTTTCCTGTTTGTGCAGAATCAGCTCACTTTATCTAGATTCTCTTCATGTATCCATGTGTTAGTATTAGATAGCAATATGGCCTACGTGCAGGACTGTACAAGGACTCTACAAGGACTCCATGTTATGACTATGATGTGACTGTCTCTTTGTGACACGTATGTCTTTCGATGTGTGACGTGACAATGACTATATAAACTGTTTACTGCCTTTATTCTGTCTGAGGAAAAGAAACAGAGTAAACCAGTGGAACTTGAGAGCAACGTAAATAAACTTCCAGAGTTTGGCACACCACGATCCGTCTCTGTCTGCTAAATCCTAACAGATTTGGTGGAGAATGCGCGGCTCAGTGTGTGCCATTCTCTGGATTGTTTTGAGAGAATTTCCTCTGTTTCTTTTTTTCGGCGTGTGGGAGCAACAGCACGTTATCTGGAAGGGGAGAAATCCCAGTGGACGCTGAAAGGGCTCGCTTTTGGATGGGCTTGCTCTTGCTCCCTCACTTTCTCTGTTTTGTGTTTAAATTGAATTTTCCGACGCGGAAAAGAGTTGGCAGACCTCTCGGACAGTCCGTGCACACCTCTTTGACAAGAATAAGGTAAGCAGACACCTTTTTATATGTAAAGTCTGCATAATTGGATACTAGCTAAATTTGGGTGTGTTTTTGAGGTCTGTCGAACTCTCTAAATTGTGTTCAAATAAGTGTTGGCCATTAAAGTGAGTGAAGGATCCATAAGTGAAAAGGCCTAAGTGAAACCATGGTGTAATAATAAAAGCAATTTTTAAAAAGGGAAACGTGTTAAGGAGGCCTTTGTTACAAAAGCTTTGAAATTGACGAATTTCAGGCTGATAAATGACAAAAGTAAAGAAGCAACAATATTTCAGTGATCACGGTTTAAATTACATACAGAAAAAGGGAGTTTTTGTTTTTTGGAGTGAACAGAGTTCACCGGAGAATACAGAGTTTTATCTAAAGTTGAGCTATGAGAGCTTTCGTGAGTTATTTACATTTTTTACCGAGTTTTATCTACAGTTGAGCTATGAGAGGGCTGTATCCAACAGTTGTTTTTGTTTTTTAGAAAGAGATTTTGAGTTTAAATTAGTTTGCTACCTCGATAAAATAGAAGCGTACGTTAAAGTAAGAGTGCCTTTTGTTACTAGTGTGGAAAGTGATCACTTCTAGATTTGGATGACAAAAGTATAAAGAACAACATCAGTTATATTCGCTTAACAAAGTAATCTTGAAAGTTCTTCTTCTGTATCTTTCTGCCTGTGTGTGCGCGTCTGTGTGAAAGGAACCCCCCCGCCCTCGCTGCTGCTGAGCTGCTGCTCTGATTTAAAGGGGAGCTACTGCTTTAGGAATTTGGCTTTTCATAGTAGTTATTCCGTTAAATTTGCTAAATTTGCCATTTGAACATTGTGTTAGACACAGTTAAACGTTTTTAAACACCATTAGGGAATAGAAGTTTTGAATTAGTATGTTTTTGAAACCCAAAGATTAGTACAAAAAGCTTTGCTTTTCTTTTTAAATATGCTGCTTATTTTGTGAGTCCATTATTGCATCTCTGATATATTTCATAGCTGTTAGTGAGAATTTTTTCATGTATTTTTTATTTTAGTTACAAAAGCCGTTTTTCAAACATTTAAATTAGAATCTGTTAAAAGTGATTAATGATTGTAGACTTCGTCTAAAAAAGAAAGAGAGAATTAGGCTGTAAAAGTATTATATTATTAAGTTAAACTACCCAATTCACCCAATTCACATTCAAGCGGTGACTTTTGTTTTTGTTTTGACTACACGCGTGACCTTGCTGCTGCTCAGAGACATGAGGAGGCAGCTCCGACGCACAATTGAGTTTTATTGAACCAAATCCAGTGTAGCTGGAGCTAAATCTTTTGTTTGATTTCAAGTTTTGTTTTAAATGTTTTTACAAATTAATGTTCATTTTTATAGAGATTTTTCATAATTTCATTTCATGGCGTCTTTCAAGAAACCCAAGGACGCATAGATAATTAATCACACAGTACAAAAGTATATAATACATGTTTTAAAGTTTAAAAGGTTGTTTGTTTTGAGTATAATTGTTGTTTTGATAACTTCTTTAGTTTCTGGTTTTAAAATGTCATCATTAGTAAGAGAATAAGTAATCTTTATTTACATAGCGCTTGGGAAAACCCAGAGCGCTCAAATTGTTTTGACTTCAGAGAGAAAAACAATCTCATTCGCATACTGATATCTATTGTTTTTTTAAATTGGCTGTTTCAAGGATTGTTTTTCAGACTCTGGCACACTGTGGGAGGGGTCACTGCTGGACACTGGACAGCGCAAAGCCCACCCAGCCACAGGTCACAGATCAAAGAGCAAAGGGAAATGCCACCTCCTTGCCCCTCCCCACGCCACTGCAGAACTGAGTGGGTGTGAGAGAGACCGGGGCCATGAAAGAGAGGTATCTGGAGACGTGATGGGTGGAGCGTGAGGGAGAGACCTAGAGGCAGTTGAAAGTGTGTCCAGTTGGTTTACATCACCACAGTGTGACCTTTGAGACCTACAGGTGGTTCGTGGAGTCTGGAGAGACAACCCCAAAATTCATACACACACACACACACACACACATACACACTCATACACTCACACATTCACATTTACATATAGATACATGAAAAAGCAGAACATGAGGAAAAAGCATTAAAAGTTTACTCCAATGTAAACACATATTTTTAATTGTCTATCACTTGAATCTTTAGTTGAATCAGTATTTTTTGAGACCAGAAATGTTCATTTGAATTCTATATTGTCATGGACTAATTGACGTCTGTCCTGACACTTTTGATGTTTTGATTTTGTACTGTGTGAAGTAATTACATTGATGAGAATTAGATTTGATAAAAACACAAATTAGAGAAGTAAACTGCGCTTGCTTTTGTCTGAGAGACGTTAGCAACAGCATGAATAGAAATTGATTAGGATTAGAATCAAAGTGACTTAACCATAGAAAGTAACTATTGCATAACAAGCTGTGTACAGGAACTGAGACTGCACCATTGACCAGAAGTGCATCCCAAGTGACCTGATGTGCTTCAACTGAAAAGACTGTATCTGGAGATCTGATGTGCATCTGGAGAGACCAAAACTATGGCTTGGACCCTACTGATGTCCAAGATGACCTGACCTGATGACGACTGAGACTCACCCTCAGAGGACCCTGAGGACCTGAGGATCTGAGAGAGAGAAAACTGGGGAGTGATGTTTATATTATTGAAATAATGCCATTGATGAGTGCTAAATGAGAGAGATACTCATGATTCTTTCTTTTGTTTTTGTTTGTCCCTAGCTTCTGGACATCTGAGGATCTATTGGACACAGCCATTTGCAGAACAAGAACCAGCCAATGAAAACGTCTATTGCCGATGCTATTGCTACAACCAGAACCTGTGACCAAATGCAATATACATGTTAAGTATTCAGACATTTGACAGACAAAAACTTTGACTTTTTTAGTCTGGGAGACTGAGCAACTGTTAAAATGTTTTAAAATGATAAAGTATGAGTATTGTAGCGTTTTAGTAGATGTTAAATAGTAGTAAAAGAGTAGAATTTGACTTCCTTTGTTTTTCATAAACACATTTCCACATAAGAGTTAAAATAGTACCCTACAATGTTATCCTTTTGATAGATCAGCTATAATATTAGAATCAGAATAATGTTACAGCCATTAAAAGTGACAGAAGTCACAAATTAGAAATATGCCTTTGCTCAAGCTGCAGCCGAGCTTTTGAGTTAAACAATAGTGTAGAAATAGAATTAAATAGATGCATCAACCATAGATGCTTTCAAAAATAGAGATTATTTGTAGCCAGTGCTAATATCAAATGGTAAAGGGACCATTTCACAAGCATTTACTTCAAAAGTAGATAAAGTTAATTACAGTTTATGTACAGTTTTATTAGATACTTGCCAAATTCACTTGTGTTCACACATGAGTGAATGTTGACTATGCAAAAGTCCATATGAGTGTAGCCTAGATTAATGCCTAGATTAATGAGATAGATTACAACCAACAGAGATTCAAAAGCATTTAAAAGCATTTTGATGTATTTGTGTATAGCACAAAAACACAATAGTAGATATTTAGATATTGAGAAGTTTCCAGCACAAACACCATTGTAGAATAACTGACCCCAACCCCAAACCTGCTCAAATAGATTAGCTCTTGTAAGGATAATACTAATTTGATTAATGATGTACATTCATCCCAAACTGCCTGACAATAATATCTTTAGATAATAAAAAGTAATAAATCACTGGCCACTATAGAAGTGTAAATGTTGACCATTTGCCTTACTGTGTTCACAGTTTTATTCCTGAGAATGAGAATAGACATGGAGCAAAATCCCACTGATAATAAGCCACTGATAATGAGAGTATAAACCACAGAGAGATTTATTAGATTAAAATGTATGTTTAAGAATATGGCTCAATAGAATCAAATATGCAAACATATTTGTGAATAGATTAGAATAGTTTTAAACTATAGTGAATAGTGAGAGTAAAGTACACAGTATAAGATTAAAAAGTGAAAATAATACAGTGAAATAAGTGAAGTGAAGTGTAAACAATTAGCATTAGAATAAAAGTATAGAGTAATAAAAGTGAAATTAGCTTCAAAATTGAGACTCAGCTCGTTTTTGTCTGTGTTTTGACTGAATCTGCTGAGTTCTTGTGTGTCCAATAGTGTTTGTTTGTTTTTATTTTTGATTTGTTTTTTGTGTTTTGTTTTTTTTTCCAGGATAGAGGATAAAATCCACTGATATTGATTTGATGATTATGAGTTTAATGCATACATTTTCTTTGTTTTTAATAATTTTTTGAAGTTTTTTTTTGGAATTTTTTTTTTCTTTTTCCATTTTATTGATTGATCGATTTGAGTGATCACATGTGATTATGTGATCAAAGGGGAGGGTGTTAGTATTAGATAGCAATATGGCCTACGTGCAGGACTGTACAAGGACTCTACAAGGACTCCATGTTATGACTATGATTTGACTGTCTCTTTGTGACACGTATGTCTTTCGATGTGTGACGTGACAATGACTATATAAACTGTGTACTGCCTTTATTCTGTCTGAGGGAAAGAAACAGAGTAAACTAATGGAACTTGAGAGAAACTTAAATAAACTTCCAGAGTTTGGCACACCACGATCCGTCTCTGTCTGCTAAATCCTAACACATGGAAACGTGCAGCGTGCAGACTGTTGGTCCTGTCTTTGCTCGTTGCCATGGAAACACCGGCAGTACAAAATATGTGTGTTTAAAGGAGTAAGAGATGAGGGTGATGACAGTTATTGGAGCTGCTTGTTTCACTTTGGTGATTGGTTTCTATGGTAACCGTGCTAAACTATGCAAATGTGTTTTTCACTGTGTCACCATTGTAAGGCTCTGACTGTTGCTGTAGTAACAATTTCTTACTGTTGCCGTAGTGACACATTCTGACTGTTGCTGTAGTTACACGTTCTGACCCAATACACAATAAACCCAAACACAGTGCGACCATGAGTCTCGGACACAAACCTTTTGTCCGAGTGGAATGTCTGACGCAGCATAATCTGTAGAACGTGATTGACTGGAGGTTCTCATCCAGGTCTCGATCCTGCTCCCGGTCCTGGTCCTGGTCCTGGTCCTAATCCTGGCTCTGGCCCAGGCCCTGGTCCGGTCTGGTCTCTGGTCTCTGGACCTCCTCCTGGTCTGGACTCTGAGGTCCAGTGGAGGTCAGAGGTTCTGAGCTCCATTCAAAAACTGGTCCAAGTCCAGACCCAGGTGCTGCACCAGCTGAGCATCATGGGAAACCAGGTGAGCGACCAGGACCAGGACTGGACCAGGACTGGACCAGGTCTAGACTAGGACAAGACCATGGTGTTGATCAAGGATCATACCCGGTCTGAACCTGGTCTACGCCCGGTCTAAAGCCAGTCTAAACCCGGTCTAAACCCGGTCCAAACCCGGTCTTTCAGGTGGCCCTTCTGGTGGAGAATCATCAGGCTCTTCTTCTGCAGACTTCGCGAATCGCCACAAACCTACAAGAAGTGACCCGCAAAGCCCCGCCCCCTCCACTGGACGTGTCACTCAAGAGCCGTGATGTCCAATAGGAATGCGTCATGTTGTTCTGTGATTGTTACTACGGCAACACTCATATCTGACTGTTCAGTGTCAAAAATCAAATCTGTTTATTCCACATGGACTTTGGGTCTGGTCTGGGTCTGGCTTTGGGTCTGGTCTGCTGCTGTTTGTGAAATAAAAGTCCACAGTCTCTTCAAAACTCTTCAAACCGCTTGTCTGCATTTTGTCTTGTTTAGTTGAGGGTCAGGGACGGTTAGGGTCAAGGCCAGGTATGGGTCAGGCATAATTAATGATGATACTGTAGGTGTGAAAGTCTGGACACCCCTGGTCTCTGCTTGCAGCCTCTCCTCAAATCAGTGTGAATGACGTCATCACGGACCAATCAGAGCTTACCGTACCCTCTGGCTCCACCCTTTCTGTGCGTTGCCACGGTGACGGTCCTCTGTTGCTAAAGAGCTCTTCGTTCAGACTGATGCACGACGCCCTCGGCGACCGCGTGTCCATTGGTCGGGCAACTGTGCGGCACACCGGGACCTACACCTGCTCTGGATCAGCCAATCAGAGCGCAGAACTGCCAACACCCGCCGCTTCTCTGCACCTGTATGTGTCAGGTAAGCCCCGCCCACACCTGTAACTCCACCAACAGAGCTTTGACCCTGTCTTTGACCTATTATTCGTTCCAGTATTTGACCCAGTATTTGATCCGTCTTGAAACAGATCCTGAAGCCTCCTTTGTAATCCCGAAGTCTCCCTCCACTGCGGAGGAGGGGTGGGACTTCCTGTTGCGCTGCATGCCCACAGACCCTGACATCACCAACATCTCCATCCAATCAGCGGAAAGGGGGCAGGGCCTACCTCATGGCATGACCTTCACTTTTGACCCCTGGCGAGGCGCGCTCCTGCACCAGGTTCAAAGGTCATTTGAGGGGTCCTATGTCTGCAGGGGGCGGAGACACGGACAGGAAGTGACATCACTGCCCATCCACCTTTGGGTGACGCACAGTGAGTTCATGTTCTTAATGTTTGTAGAATGTTGTTTTCAATCGTGTTTGGTGTCATTCTTAATGATATTTTCTCTGATGGTTCCAGAGCTCATGGACCCGCCATCTTTGTCTGTGTCTCAGAACGCTGCAATACGATTGGTCGGTGAGAGGTTTGAGGTCACATGTTTCTGTCAGAACAAAAACCACTTCTTCAACCTCACATGGACACGCCCCCCCGGACAGGTAACCACAGGAGACCACGCCCCCTAAATCCAACCAGTACAACATTTAGTACTAATAGTAGTCAAAATTGCAGTATTAGTAGTAGTATTAGTAGCAGCACCAGTAGTAGTTGTAGCAGAAGAAATAGCAGTAGTATTTGCTGTACTAGTGGTAGTAGCGGTAACAGTAGTAATTGCAGTAGTAGTAGTACCAATAACAGAGGTATTTTCAGTAGCATTAGTAGTAGTAGTAGTACTAGTCGTAGTAGTAGTAGTAGTAGTAACACCCTCCTCCCCCACAGGTCTCCCCCTCCTCTGAGGTGCAGTCTCAGTCTGCCTCGGTCTCTGGAGTCTTAAAGAACCAGACTCTGGTCCTTAACTCGGTCAGGACCCAGGACTCTGGTCTTTACACGTGCACCGGAGGAAACACTGCTGGCTTTACCACTGCAACCATAAGGCTGGAGGTGCGAGGTCAGTAACCACGGCAACCACACACACAGCTGATTGGCTGATACATATTCAAATCTTTGAGAGACAGCCAAACTTTCTTTCCATTGGTCGAGTCTGTAGTTGACCAGGGTCCAGGTCTAAGACCAGACCCAAGTCCAGACCAGAGCCAGTCCAGACCCATGCCAGAACCAGACCCAAACCAGACCAAGCCCAGACCCAAACCCAGACCCGGTTCATCTTCAGATGTTTGTTTGATGTTTTTCAGAACGTCCTTTTGTCACTGTTTTCCTGTGGGTCCAGAACATCTCGTCGCTCATCGTCAACGTAACCCACGGCAACAGCTCTGAGAATGACGTGGTGAGGGGCGGGGCCAGCTTGGAGAGAGGCGTGGCTATGGAAGAAGTGGGTGGAGTAACTGGTGTGGCCGTGGCAGAGAGGCAGGACCTCAGGCTTACCGTGCTGATAGAAGCATATCCCCCAATCAGAACGCAGCGATGGATTACTCCAGATCACATGACCAACGGCAGTGTGAGCAGGTGGGAGAAACGGGCCCCTCCCCCTCAGGTTCATGTTTTAGATGGGAGCTCCTGATTAGCTGCCTGTGATGTCATGTTTCAGATCGGAGCTCCTGATTGGCTGCCTGTGATGTCATGTTTCAGATCAGAGCTCTGGATTGGCCGCGTCGATCGCTTTGACTCTGGACTTTACTCGCTACTTTTTGAGAATGACTTCTTCAAAGGAAACGTGTCCGTCCTCCTCACCGTGCACTGTGAGTGTGAGAACCGTACGGAGACAAAGTATGAAAACCATATGGAGACCATGTATAAAAACCATAAAGAGACAGGTGTGAAGACCATATGGAGACAAGTGTGAGAACCATAGAGAGACAAGTGTGAGAACCATAGAGAGACAAGTATGACGACTATATGGAGACACCGGACAAGTCTGATCCAGATGATTGGTTGGTTTAAATGGTTCTTCTTCTGTGATTGGCTGTTTACTCTCTGCTCTGTGATTGGCTCCTCACTCTGCTCTCTGATTGGCTCTCCACCCTCTGTTCTATTATTTGGCTCAGATCCTCCGGTGGTTCAGATCCTCAGACAGGACTCTGGACTGGTTTGTCGTGCTTCTGCAGTTCCTCGTCCATCCATCAGGTGGAGCTCCTGCCCCGGCCTCACAGACAGGTACAGCTCCAGCCCAGACTAAACCCATTCTGAACCAGGTCCAAACCAAGTCTAACCAAGGTCTGAACCCAGTTTGAACCCGGTCTGTTTTAGGTGCGACAATGGACTTGTGATTGAAGAGGACTCAGATCCAGACCTGGACTCAGACCTGGACTCGGAACTGGACTCGAAACTGGACTTGGAACTGGACTTGGACATGGAAGGCCCTGAGGACCTGATTGAAGACAGGGAGGAGGAGTCAGTGGAGCGGCCTCTGATGCTGCGTCTGTCCCCTGGTGATGACATCACTGTGGTGTGCTCTGCTGTCAATCATATGGGGGAGTCACATGACATGCTGTCGCTGCGTGAGTTTGTTTACCTCCGTGTCGACACCAGGGTGTGTTGTCATCGCAGTCGTTAAACACATTCTGTTGTTTCTGATTGGTCCAGGAGAGCCCGCCTCCCTCCTCCACCCTCTCCTGATTGGCTCGTTCAGTGTGGGCTTGGTCTTACTGCTGCTGCTTCTGGTGGCGCTGTGGAAATGGAGACAGGTGACCCAGTCTAGGACCTGGACCCAGACATGAACCAAGACCTGGATATGGACACAGACCTGGTCTGGTTCTTGATGGAGGAGAGGGCTCAAGTTACCATTCCAGGACCCAGACCATGACCAAGATCAGACTAATAGCAAGACCTGGACTAAGACCTGGACAAGGACCGGCCCCAGACCCGACACAAATCAAGACCAAGACTAGTCCCAGACCCTAATCCAGTCTGACCCGTATCGTCCGCAGAAGCCACGGTTCGAAATCCGATGGAAAATCATTGATGCTTTTGACGGAAACTTCTACACGTTTGTGGATCCGACTCAGCTGCCGTACGACCAGAGCTGGGAGTTTCCCCGGGACCGACTCAGGCTGGGTAAGACCAGAGCAGGGACTGAGATCAGGGACCAGAGACTGGAGGCCGGAGGCCAGAGGCCAGAGGCAGACCAGAGAGAAAGACCAGAGAGACCAAAGAGAAAGATCAGAATGAAAGACCATAGACCAGAGATCAAGATGCGGGACAGACCTGGGCTGAGTAAGACTTAACACCACTAAATCTGAAACTGCTGTTCACAAACACTCTCATCTAAAAAAGAGAAATGGGAAAATGTTCAGTCTCTAGATGTGCAGCACTTAGAGTCAGACTCCAGTCGTCCGTGACTGTGTTGTGGCCTTCTCTGCGTGTGACCATGTGACCCACAGTCCGACCTGCTGAGGTGACCTTTGACCTCAGGACTTTGTGCTGTATCTCCTGCAGGAGCGGTCCTCGGCTCCGGAGCGTTTGGAAAAGTGGTGGCTGCGACCGCGGTGGGCCTGGACCCGGACCACGAGGAGACCACGGTGGCAGTGAAGATGCTCAAACGTGAGTCATGAGAAAAACACAACGCCTGGGCCTCTAACCCGCCTTGCGACCTAAACAGACACAACAAAAGTGTTTTCTAGTCCTCTGCTCACATGAGGTTCAGGGGAAAAGGCTCTCAAACTACACACATGTCACACCAGAGACATTACTGTGAATGAGAACAGCGGAACAAGCCGTGGAGCTGTGTTTGGGGGAGTGAAGCTCTGACCTCAGCGTTTAGGTTGTTGCACACGCTGAAAAAGTTGACGTTGTGAAAATTATGTTGGAAACTGTATTTACTGCTCCAGAAGGATGAGAAACTTGTCCATTATGTGAGACTCTCTGGTCTCTCTCTGATCTCTCTCTTTGGTCTCTTTCTGGTCTTTCTCTCTGGTCTCTCTCTGGTCTCTCTCTGATCTCTCTCTTTGGTCTCTTTCTGGTCTTTCTCTCTGGTCTCTCTCTGGTCTCTCTCTGATCTCTCTCTTTGGTCTCTTTCTGGTCTTTCTCTCTGGTCTCTCTCTGATCTCTCTCTTTGGTCTCTTTCTGGTCTTTCTCTCTGGTCTCTCTCTGGTCTCTCTCTGATCTCTCTCTTTGGTCTCTTTCTGGTCTTTCTCTCTGGTCTCTCTCTGGTCTCTCTCTGATCTCTCTCTTTGGTCTCTTTCTGGTCTTGCTCTCTGGTCACTCTCTGGTCTCCATGGTATCCCTCTAAGTTCTCTCTCTCTGGTCTCTCTCTCGTCTCTCTCTCTCGGGTCTTTCTCACTGGTTGGTCGGTCTCTTTCTGGTCTATTTTTCTGGTCCCTCTCTGGTTGGTGTCTCTAGTCCATCTGTCTCTGGCCACTCTCCCTTGTCTTTCTCTCTGGTCTCTCTCTCACTGGTCTCTCTCTCTGGTCACTCTCCCTGGTCTTTCTGTCTGGTCTCTCTCTGGTCTCTCTGTGGTCTCTCTTTCTCTGGTCACTCCCCCTGGTTTCTTTATCTGGTCTTTCATCCATAAACCCGTCACACAGAGACCAGTCCTGGTCCGGACCCACATGTGGTGAGGTGTGGTTCTTTGGGCACCCCCTCTGTTAGCTTCTTGTTGTTTGCAGCCAGAGCTCTGTCTGAAGAACGCGACGCTCTGATGTCGGAGCTGAAGATCCTCAGTCACATCGGATTCCACCAGAACATTGTGAACTTGCTGGGAGCCTGCACCAGCGGAGGTAAGGACCAGGAGAGACCAGAGAGACCAGAGAGAGAGCGGGAGAGACCATGGAGACTAGAGAAAGACCAGAGATAGGGACCAAAGAGAAAGATCAGTGAGAGATCAATGAGAGACCAGAGAAAAATATCCAAGAGAGAGACCAGAGAAAGACCAAAGAGAGAGACCAGAGGGAGACCAGAGAGACCAGAGAGAGACCAGAGAGAGACCAGAGAGAAACCAGAGAAAGACCAAAGAGAGAGACCAGAGGGAGACCAGAGAGAGACCAGAGAGAGACCAGAGAGAGAGACCAGAGAGAGACCAGAGAGAGACCAAAGAGAGACCAAAGAGAGACCAGAGAGAGACCAGAGGGAGACCAGAGAGAGACCAGAGAGAGACCAGAGAGAGACCAGAAACAGACCAAAGAGAGACCGGAGAGAGAGAGAAACCAGAGCAAGACCAGAAAGAGACCAAAGAGTGAAGAGCTGTTTCTCTGGGTTTGGCGCAGGTCCCATGCTGATGATCACAGAGTACTGTTGCCACGGTGACCTGCTTCACTTCCTGCGGAGCCGAGCGCATCACTTCCTGTGCGACCCGGAAGCGCTTTACAAGAACAATCCGACCAATGAGAGGCCGCGCAGGTGAGTCCCGGCCAATCAGAGGGCAGAACTTCAAAACTATTTCTAATCTGCCGTCTGAAAATCCACAATAATATAGCTGTTGCGTTTTTGGATTTGTCTTTCTCTCGCAGCGACAGTGGCATCTCCTGCGGATCAGACTGTCACAAGATGAGACCTGTGGGACCTGGACCAGGACTGAGACCAAGACCAGGACCAGGACATAGGCCGAGACCAGGTCCGGGAATGAAGCCGCTTTGGTATCAAACGACTATGGCAGAAACCCTTTGTCTGAAGTGTCTGGTCTCTCTCTGTCCTTTCTTTTGTCTTGCTCTCTGGTCTCGCTCTCTGGTCTCGCTCTCTGGTCTCGCTCTCTGGTCTCGCTCTCTGGTCTCGCTCTCTGGTCTCTCTCTCTGGTCTCGCTCTCTGGTCTCGCTCTCTGGTCTCGCTCTCTGGTCTCGCTCTCTGGTCTCGCTCTCTGGTCTCGCTCTCTGGTCTCGCTCTCTGGTCTCGGTCTCGCTCTCTGGTCTCGCTCTCTGGTCTCGCTCTCTGGTCTCGCTCTCTGGTCTCGCTCTCTGGTCTCGCTCTCTGGTCTCTCTCTCTGGTCTCGCTCTCTGGTCTCGCTCTCTGGTCTCGCTCTCTGGTCTCGCTCTCTGGTCTCGGTCTCGCTCTCTGGTCTCGCTCTCTGGTCTCGCTCTCTGGTCTCGCTCTCTGGTCTCGCTCTCTGGTCTCTCTCTGGTCTCTTTCTCTGGTCTCTTTCTCTGGTCTCTCTCTGGTCTCTCTCTGGTCTCTTTCTCTGGTCTCTTTCTCCGGTCTCTCTCTGGTCTTTCTCTGGTCTCTTTCTCTGGTCTCTTTCTCCGGTCTCTCTCTGGTCTCTTTCTCTGGTCTCTTTCTCTGGTCTCTCTCTGGTCTCTCTCTGGTCTCTTTCTCTGGTCTCTCTCTGGTCTCTCTCTGGTCTCTCTCTGGTCTCTCTCTCTGGTCTCTCTCTGGTCTCTCTCTGGTCTCTGTCTTGTCTCTGAAACATCGAGCTGCTAAAGTGTTATTTTTAGATTGTGACCTTGTGATAAACCATGGACCATGTGCAGCTGTCTATATTTATAGAATTCTTCTCTGTTCCTCAGATGTTCCTTCTCTCTTGGACCTGCTGAGGTTTTCTCTGGACGTGGCTCAGGGCCTGGATTTCCTCTCCTCCAAAAATGTAAGAACCAGAATATGTTGTGTGTCTACAGTGTGTGTTTTGGCTTATTCCTCTGTGGTGTTTTCACAGTGTGTTTTGGCCCATTCCTCTGTGGTGTTTTCATAGTGTTTTTTGGCCCATTCCTCTGTGGTGTTTTCACAGTGTGTTTTGGCCCATTCCTCTGTGGTGTTTTCACAGTGTTTTTTGGCCCATTCCTCTGTGGTGTTTTCACAGTGTGTTTTGGCCCATTCCTCTGTGGTGTTTTCACAGTGTGTTTTGGCCCATTCCTCTGTGGTGTTTTCACAGTTTGTTTTGGCTTCTTCTTCCATTCTGTCCTCAGTGCATTCATCGAGATGTGGCTGCGAGGAACGTGCTCCTGACCGAACACTGTGTGGCTAAAATCTGCGACTTCGGTTTGGCGCGCGACATCCGCAACGACGACAACTATGTCGTCAAGGGAAACGTGAGCTGCACTTTCATCAACTCCGAATTTTCATGAGGGAGAGGAGGCTCTACCCTGAGCACCAGGACTGTTCTGTTCTCTGGGGCCACACCAGAGCGCAATGAAGGATGATCTGTGTCACGAGTTACCATAGTAACAGTCAATTCTATCAAAGCAGAAAAAGCTATGTTATGAAAAAATATACTTAGAGAGAAAAACATGGAGCTGAGATGACAGCGTTAGCTTTGCTCAGTATGAAGGCATCTGATTGGTCAATCCTTATATGGCTCATATCTGGATTTACCAAGACAATGCTACAATATAAACACCAGGATCACAGAGAGCCATAAACTGTGACTGAGAGGAGCTGACAGCTGACTGCTATTCTCTGTTGGGATAGCATGGTCCCTCTGTATACTATTATGTGTAGTACTCACAGTACTTGTACTCCTGTAGTACTCACACTACTTTAACTCCTGTAGTACTCACAGTACTTTAACTCCTGTAGTACTCAGTACTTGTACTCCTGTAGTACTCAGTACTTGTACTTGTACTTGTACCCCAGGCTCGGCTCCCGGTGAAGTGGATGTCTCCTGAGAGTATCTTCCTCTGTGTTTACACGACTCAGAGCGACGTCTGGTCCTACGGAGTCCTGCTGTGGGAGATCTACTCTATGGGTGAGTCCTGCTACTGCTACTGCTACTGCTACTGCTACTGCTACTACTGCTACTGCTACTGCTACTGATGCTGCTACTGATGCTGCTACTGCTACTGCTACTGATGCTGCTACTGCTGCTGCTACTGCTACTGCTACTGCTACTGCTACTGCTACTGATGCTGCTACTGCTACTGCTACTGATGCTGCTACTGCTGCTGCTACTGCTACTGCTGCTGCTAGTCCCTGTGCTCCTCAGAGTCCCAGCAGGAGTCCAGTCCCTGTGCTCCTCAGAGTCCCAGCAGGAGTCCAGTCCCTGTGCTCCTCAGAGTCCGGGCTGGTTCATATGGGACTAACATGTCACTAATACAGTGTTTTTCAACCTTTTTTGAGCCAAGGCACACTTTTTTCACTGAAAAAATCTTGCGGCACACCTCCAGGAGAAAATGTTAAAATGTATACAGTACTAATGTAAAAAAATATATACTGTACATACTCTGTGTGATATATAAAGTATATCGTATCTTATCTTATAATGTATACAGTATACTCTGTAGCCTATATTCACAATATACAGTTATTCTCATCAAAATGCTTAAGTCCAGGCCTTGACATTAAGCTTTATTTAATATTTCTCGATACAATTAACAAGAGTTTGGGAATAAAGTGGCACTAACTGTGTGGAAAAAAACTAAGAAAATCCACTCTCTGCCCAAATAGTCAAATAATAACTCACACAAAGAACATGCATTGTTAGTGCATGGGGAAAAATTTAGGTATCCGAGCTTTAAATTCAGGAGTTTTGGATGAGGGACACGGGAGGTCCTGAACGCGAGTCCATGGTTCTGTCCGGTCCGCATGTCTATGGTTCTGTCCACTCGACTATGGTCTGCGCTCGGTACCCAGTTCAGAAGTGCGTTCGCGAGAGCTGTAGTACAAAAATTGTACATTTCATAGTTAAACCACTACAACGCGGCCACAGCTGCCCCGGAGCAGAGCGGAGGATGTTAATCCTGTTCAGAAACGGCATAATTCATTTTCAAAAACGTCTCTATCACTTTCACTTCTCACTCGCCACAAAGCTCTTGTCTCGCTCCCTCCCACATTTGTTGGTCGCATCCAATTTTACCTTTCTCGCCACAATGCTGACCTGTTACAGCCAGTGGTCGCATCCAATTTTTCAGTTTCAAAGTACTTAGCTATCTGCTGCCATCTACTGATTTGAAAAAGTATTACATGGTTACTCCACAGTTCAAAACAAGTCACCGCTCGTCAACAGCGAATGCAGTTATTTTTAGACAAAGTAGACGAATTTCTCACGGCACACCAGACAATATCATACGGCACACTAGTGTGCCGCGGCACAGTGGTTGAAAAACACTGCACTAATATATTTTGGTGCGAGGCCATGGAGAGATTTGTAACAAGCAGAGCTGTTTTAAAGTCTATTCTCTGAGCCACAGGAAGCCAGTGCAGAGACCTGAGGACTGGACTAATGTGGTCGTACTTCCTGGTTCTAGTCAGGACTAATGTGGTCGTACTTCCTGGTTCTAGTCAGGACTAATGTGGTCGTACTTCCTGGTTCTAGTCAGGACTAATGTGGTCGTACTTCCTGGTTCTAGTCAGGACTAATATGGTCGTACTTCCTGGTTCTAGTCAGGACTCGAGCTGCTGCATTTTGAATGTACTGCAGCTGTTTTACAGCCTGTTTGGACAGACCTGTGAGCAGGCCATTGCAGTAGTCTAACCTACTGGAGACAAATGCATGGATAAGAATCTCCAAGTCTGCT